ATGAGTCATGCCGTTCCCAGGAGGTGGGTTGAAGGGTGAACCCAGGAGGGAAGGGGGTGTAGGTCATCACCTAGACCCTCGCTTCCCAGAGGCAACTGTGCCTGGAGCCGGAGAGACCTAGCACGCTAGGGTTTACTGGACAGCAGGGGTCCTGGACCCGGTAGGAGGAAGGTTAAAAGGAGTGAGAGAAAGAGAGAGGAATGGGGGCTTAGCCTCGGGGGCCTGGGGGAATATGATTAGGGTGAAGGTCTAAATAATCTACAAGCCTGACAAAAGGAAAAGGGGGCTTACCTAACGGATGAGCCGGTGATGGGTGAAGGAAGCCAGAGCCGGAGAAAATAGACGAGGGTGGACCGTCAGTCCCGGGGGGTCGCGAAAGAGTCCGAGGAAGGAGTCCCCTGGTGCGGGGTGAACTCCTTCCCGTGTTTCAGCACCAGATGAAGGGGCGCATGGATGAAGCACGCGAGACCCGGGCTAACAGTTCGCCAGAGAAGTTCAGCTTTATTCAAGCACTGCGTGTACATTAATAGGGAGCTGTGTTCCGGGTTTGGATAGGTGGTGGACGGGGCGGTAGCTGATTGGACGGGGCAGGGCAGGAGGTGAGCCTTGACCTGTGACTGGTTGAGGTTTGGCACTGGCGGGCTTCTACGGCGGAGAAGAACCCGGAAGGGTGCCATATTGCTAGGGAATGCTTTCTGCCTCCCCCTCCGCTTGAGTGCCCACAGTATCCTTACAATATGTATTAGGCATCGGTTTCTTTTTAGGTCAACAATATATAATCTAGTATAACTTAACTTAATCTCTCTTCTAGTCAAAGCCTCTTAACTGGTTTCCTGCTTCGACTCTTGTCCTCTTTCAACATAGATCTGATCATATCACTTTCCTCTTCAATATACTCTGACGACTTGCCCCCTTACTTGTAATAATATCCTGATTCTTTACCTGCCCTAGAGGATACCATGTAACCATGTTCTTGCCTAATTCTCTTACCTCTTTAAATTTTTTTTCTTTACTTTGCTCATTCTTCTTCAGCTATTCTGGCTTTATTGCCTTTCCTTAAATATGACAAATTTATTCCTACTTAAATGACTTTGTACTCACAATTCTCTTTGAATGTCCTCTCCATAAAATCATCTAATTGGTTGTCCTCTTACTTCTGTTGTGTTCCTGATCCAATATCATCACCTTACAGAGGATTTAGCTGACACTACTATTTATTTATTTATTTATTTTTATTGCTTTCTAAATTTTATTAATTTAAGTTTTTTATATTCTAGGATGTTGTTGCGGAGCAGTTTAGAGGGAGGAGGAGAGGGGAAAGGGGAAGGAAATGTGATGGAAGAAAGAGGAAGGACAGGGGAGGGACTGAGGCTTGTGGGACCCCCTCATTCTCAAAGTGGAGACCGGGGGCTTCCAGCAGTGGCTTGGTCATTGCTGGGCTGGGTGCAGATGAGGGCGGGTTTGGCAAAAGCCCTTGTCCCCCATGACCCCAGCTCAGGAACCCAGGCCCTTCTCACTGTTGCTTGGTGGTCAGCGCTGGGCTGGTTGTACATGTCAGGGCAGTGTGGCCAAGGGCTCTCTTGAGCTGGGGCACTTCCTGTGTCAGGTCAGTGATCATAGCTGGGCTGGTTGCAGGAGTCAGGGGGCATGGCCTAGGCCTTTGGCCCCCCTTGGGACTGGTTGAGGATGTCAGGAGGCATTGCTGAGGCCCCCGGCCCCTTCCTTTCTGGCTTGGTAGCCCAGGAGACTTCTGATCCTTCTAGGTTTTATAGGTGTTCTTTGGTGAAATGAGACCTTTAATAGTTAATATCAAACTTTGTCCTGGTTTATGGGTACTTTGTTTTTTCTTTCCATTCTTTGTTGGATTATTTGCTGTTCCCACCACTTAAACTCTGCACTGGAACTAATTTGTTGTCCTTTGCTTACTTCTAAAATGGGGGAACTTCATGTGGGGACCAGTACTTGAGCTGTGTGGTTTAGCTAAATTGCTGCTTTGCTGCTGATTCCTTAGAGAAGGCTTTTTGTGAAGCTGAGGTTTTAATGGTTAACTTTATAGGTACTTCCAGGTCTAGTGAAACCCGGTGCACCTGTGTTGTATAGAAAACTCTGGTCTGGGCCTGAGGCTTTTCATCATACTTTACCCCATGCAATTCTATATTCCTGACCTGTCTCCTCTGAGTGGTCCTACGCTGATTGGGGTGCAGAGCAGCTGTCCTTGCTGTGCCCCAGTATTCCCCTGGTGGGCCTGTCTCCCCCACTGCCCATGCTGCAAACACTTCCCATGGGACAGACCATGCTTCAGTCCCTTGTGATGACTCACTGGCCTCTGAGTGGCTCCTTTTTTTCAGTTGTTGTGGCTCCTTGCTCCAATGTGGGTTCACGGGAAGCCTATTAGTGGTCTTGCTGGCCTGGGGGCCACCAAGGCCCTCTTCTCCCCTGCCACCTTCAAACAGCTTTATAGGCAAGGGCACAGCTGTGGCTTTTGCCAGCTCCTGCTCTGTATACTCAGCAGCTCCAGCCTGGAAGCAGCCAGGGTTTGAAATGTTCAGAGCGTTTTTTTCTTTCTCTCATCGTGGCTTCTCCTGCTTCAAGCACTCCGTAGGTATCTCCTCTTCTTCCCTTGAGCTTTAGCAGCCCCAGCTTTGCTGTTGTTGCTTTTTTTGTAGTTGTAAATTGGTTGATTTGTGGGAGAGAGTGATGCTGGGGACCATCTTTTCTGCCACCTTGACCAGAAGTCCTGAAATTAGCGGTGACTCACAGAGCACTCTCAACAGACATGGTTGCCTCATGAAGGCGAGAAAACGGGCAGATTTGCCCCTCATGTGAAGGCCCATCATGCCAGGCTGGGCCAATCAGGGGCAGGTGGAGTGAATTGCACCAAAGTAGGTAAAAAATGCAGCAGCTTCCTCTCTGCTGTAGCCCTCCCCCCTGCTCCCGTGGGTCCCCTCCCCTCCTCCTGACAATACTGTTTAAATTAACATTATTCTGTATCCTCTTGACCATTTTATTTCGTAGTATTTATAGCTTTCTGACATAATATTAAGTATTTATTTGAAAAATATTTTCTTTCTCCGTTACTAGAGTGTGAACTCCATGAAGTTTAGAAATTGGTCTATCGTGTCAATTGCTCTATTTCGAAGTGCGTAATTAAATACCTGAGACATAACTGCCTTTAATGAATACTTGTTGAATGCAGAAATGATTTTTTATACATTGTGATGATTACTACGAAAAGAAATACAAGAAACTATGAGAGAGAATGGGGTGGGGTAGGACTTCATTAGGTTATTTACTCAAAGGCATCTCTTAGATGAAATTATGTTTAATGTGAATTAGTAATTCCCACAAATAGTAGAGGGGCAATTCTTCCAAACAGCTAATAGCAAACACAAATGCCCCGAAGCAAGAAAAATCTCGAGGAGCTTGAGAAAATTTAATGGGCTCATCCTACCTTAGCATAGAAAATGAAGGAGAGCTTAATGAAGTGAGATTGGAAAGCACAAAAAAGATCATTCAGCTTCTTGCAGATCAGTTTGAGTATAAATTTTATCGTAAGTACTTGAGAAGCCTATTGCAAGGTGCTGAGTGGAGACTAATTAGGAAGCCTATTGCATTAGAGATTAAGAGAAGCTGCAGAAAATAGCATCTGGGATCTGCACTGATGTTCTTGAACCACCCTGCTTTCTTTTGCCTCATGATTTCTCATATCCTTGAAATTGTTAGTGAAGTTTGATACTGAGTAAGCATATGAGTCTAATTTGGCAATCTAATAATTGGTATTATCTGAAAGGCCCATGAAAAAGGTGACAAATCAAACATTTAGTAATGGAATAGAGGAGTTGAAGGTTAGAAGGGGGAAAGTCTGAGAAAGAATAAGAAGATAATCTAGAGAAAGAGTATGAAGTGTCGTGGAACCAAGAAAAAAGATTTTTTTGGTGTTTTGAAAATGCATTTTTGATTTTGGAGTATTTTTAGATTTACAGAAAATTTGCTAAGATAGTACAGAGTATCATACATACTCCTTACCCAGTGTCAGTTTCCCTAACGTTATCATCTTACATTAACCTTGTACATTTGTAAAAGCTAAGAAATTGACATTTCCATTAAAACACTACAGTTTCTATTTATATTTCACCATTTTTTTTCATTAATGACCTTTTTCTGTTCCAGGATCTGACCCGAGATACCACATTGCGCTTAGTTCTCATGTCTTTGTAGTCTCCTGTAGTCTGTGACTGTTTCTCAGAATTTCCTATTTCTTATGATATTTACAGTTTTGAGAAGTATTCTCAAATATCTCAGGGGTGATGTGTAGAATGTTTCTCAATTTGGGCTTGCCTGAGGTTTTGGCTCATGACTAGACTGGAACTATGAGTTTTTAGAAAGAATAACACAGAGGTTGAAGTACATGAGTCCACATGACTTATCATCAGGAATAATTTTGATCACTTGATTAAGACGGCAATTGCCAGATTTCTCCACTATAAAGTTACTATTTTTCCATTTCCATACTCTACTGTTTGGGAGGGAGTGACAAATTCAGGACAGAATCAAAAGAGAGAAGACTGAGTTCTACCTCCTTGAGGGGAGAGTATTTATGTATATTATTTTGAATTCTTTTTTAAGGAAAATTTGTCTAGGAGAAGGGAGTTTTAAAAAGGAAGGTGTGATCATATTCTACTGAAAATGTATGCAGATGAGGAATCAAAAGTCTTCACTGATTTTGGCAAGATGAAAGTTGAGGTTACTTTAGGAAGAACAGTTTCAACTTAATTGTAAGGATGGGAGCCAGATGAATGGGAAGAAGGGTGAATGGGTGAGGAGGAATCAAAGACAGAATATGTGAACACTGCTTTGAAGATGTTTAAGAAAGACAACTGTAGCCCAGGACTCATGTGACAATGACATCACATTCTGTTTTTTTGTACATTTTGTTTTAGGAACATGATTCTCACTTTCAATCCAGGGTTTTAGTGATGTTAGTCATAAAAGAATGCAACTTTCAGAATTCTCAACTTTATTAAATTTAAATCACAAAATTATTTATCCAAATCCAAAATTGTTATCATAGATTATGCTACCTTTTAACCGGTTGTAGAAAAAAGATTTTTGTGGAATAAAAAGTAGATCCAGAAGAAAAGATTTATTGCTGCTTGGAATCAAATTTGTAACTAACATGCCTACAATTTTCTGTCTAGTATGTGTCAAATCTAAGTAGATGATGTGGATTTTCTCCACATAGCCCTGCTCAGTATGTATTGGGCATTTAATAAATTTTGTTGCTGCAATTGCAGGAGGCCTTGCAATCGTTCTTAACCAATTCATTTGTACAGCCTAATGACGTCTTCAATTGTTTACAGTTACTATAGCGATCTTCATACTCGCAACCATTGGCTGGAATAAAAACAAGGAAATTTATTATCACTTCCTCCATAGCAGGGATACAAACAATAAATTCAATGTGAATGGGAAGAAGGGAATTGAGCAAACAAGTTGGCATCATTACACTATGATGACCATTTCATATCTGGAGGGACACATTAGATTCCTTAGTTGAACTCACTGATTAATCCATCACTTCTTTTAAAATTTGAACTATCTGAAATATCTCTAAGATGAATTGGCATACTTTTCTCACTTAAAAAGCAAAGTAAAATTAATTTCAACGAATCTCTCTAGAAATGCATTATCCAAAATGGTAGCCACTAGTCATGTGGTTGTTTAAACTTACACTTTAATTAATTAAATGTAATAAAATTAAAATTTCAAGTCCTCAGGGACACCAGGTACATTTCAAGTGCTCGATAGCCAATGTATCTAGGGACAACTTTACAGGACAGTGAAACTATTGAACGTTTCCCTCATTGCAGAAAGTTATATTGGACATGGTTGCTGTAGACTCTAGTGCCACCAATCTTTCACTCGGGAGTAAGTAATTATTATGGGAAGATGTAGATGTGAAAATGTAAAATATGGTGAGAATGTCACTATGATTACTGGAAATTTCTACTTGGATGTTCCTCTGTGGCCACAAACTAAACAAATCTCAAGCTAAATTCATCATCCTACCTACAAACTTGACATTTCTTTGATTTCCTCCCACAACCCTCCACTCAATTCACCCTGTCTCAGACAAATGACACTCTCGGCTACTAAATAGTTCAAACCAGGAACTAGGAATCAACCAGAACTTCTTTCTACTTTTTATCAGCATTCAACAAGCACAGGTAGCAAAAACTGGCCATTCTACTTTCTTCGTGTCTCTCATATCCGCTATTTCTTTGCATTCATTTTGCCCCAATGCATTAAAGATACCTATTTGTTTATGAGTCCATATTTTTAAGTCTCCTAGCTGGCTTCCTTCCAATATTTTCTTTGTACTACTGCCAAGAGCTCTTTATAAAACACAGCTCTTATCTTGTAACTCTTCTGTTTAAAATATTTCAAGTGGCCGCTTATTACTAATAGTATAGATTCCAAGCTTCTTAGCAAATTATTGCTCAGTAGAGTTATGAGTATTATGGCTTTTTCTTTTTTAGGTGACTTACAGCTTTGGTATTGTCAATTCGGAATTACAGCTATACAATTCAGCCAGAAAGAATACTACAATCAGTCAGGTGAATGTATTTGAAAGGTAAAAATGTCAGTGAAAGGGTCAACTGTATTGTCCATAATAATTTTAATAACATATCCCAAATAAACAAAAATATCAGTTCTTCATAGTTCTATTCATAATGATATTGGAAATGTGATAGTATATGATATTTATTTTACTCCCTCTCTTGGCTAAAATATTTTTGAGGCTTCTGTGAGGTAATACTATATACAGATTTGATTTTGACTTTTGGTGAATGGACATAAAAATTACTAGCAAACAGAAGTGTAAGCAACCATTAAATTAAACTTGGTAATTCTAACTACACCACGGAGAAAATGAGTGAGTTAGTATGAAAAACTCATTAGCATATAAGCGATTGCAATATTTGGTGTGCCTGTACAGACTGAGCCATATTCTATGGTCTCACACCCTTAGATTTGCATTTGTGTTCTTTTTAAAAAATGCCACCTTTGGTATAATGGCATTAACTTTGAAAAGGAAACTTCATATTTAATTACAATAAATTATTTTCACAGAAACATTTTCATATATACCAATAAGTAATGGGCTGAACATAGTCAAATATACAATGATGATACATGTTTCTTTAGGTAACAGGTAACATATGGTAACAGGCTTTTCATTGCAAATAATACATAAGTACCGAACAGTGTAAAATTTTTATTTAAATATACTCTATTAAGTAATTTTTTTTGTCTTCTGCATGAAGGCATTGTTTAAGTTGGTTATATTCAGAAGATTTTACAATTCTTAAAAAGAAATGTGAGGACATTCTATTGCACTAGCAAGTGAATCACTTCAAACTTACTGCATAGTCCATCGTCACAGTGATCAG